GGGGGGGGGCTGTCTTGCTATAGAGTGAAGGTAGGGCTCTCCTCCTTGGATCTCTCACGTGGATTTTTTCACAGTCAGGTGGGTGGAAAACTGGCTTATGGGATGCACCCAGAGAGTGGCGGTGGATGGGTCAGTTTCTACCTGGAGAGATGTGGGCAGTGGTGTCTCCCAAGGCTCTGTCCTTGAACCAGTACTGTTCAATATCTTCAGTGATTTGGATGAGGGTTTTGAAAGCACTCTGTCCAAATTCGTAGATGACACCAAACTATGGGGTACAGTAAACACACTAGAGGGTAAGGAGCGAATTCAGGTGGATTTGGACAGACTGGGGAAGTGGGCAGATCAGAATAGGATGCAATTCAACAAGGATAAATGCAAGGTGCTGCACCTGGGAAGAAAGACTCTCCAACACACCGATTAGACTGCGGGGTACCATTCTGAGCACCACAACAGTGAAAAGAGATCTCGGAGTCCTGGTTGACACAAAAATGAACATGAGTCGCCAGCGTGATGGGGTAATAAGACTAACAGCACTCTGTCTTGCATTAGTAGGTGCATCACAAGCAGGTCTAGGGAGGTGATACTTCCCCTTTATGCGGCATTGGTGAGGCCCCAACTGGAGTACTGTGTCCAGATTTGGGCACTGCACTTCAAGAAGGATGTGGATAACCTGGAAAGGGTTCAGAGGAGGGCTACTTGTATGGGTGAGGGCCTGCCAGGAAGACCCTATGAAGACAGACTGAGGGACCTGAATCTCTTCAGCTTTCGCAAGAAAAGGCTGAGAGTTGATCTTGTGGCTGGCTTCAAACTCATTAGGGGGGGGGGGGGAGGGGGCAGCAGGGAATAGGGGTTACTCTGTTTACCAGGGTGCCCCTTGGGGTTACTGGAAACAACGGCCATAAAGTGAAGGAGAGTAGATTTAGATTAGACATCAGGAAGAAATTCTTTACAGTGAGGGTTGCCAAATATGGAATGGACTTCCAGGGGAGGTGGTGCTTTCCCCTACCTTGGAGGTGTTCAAAAGGAGATTAGACAAGCACCTGCCTGGAATTACTTGACCCCCAACGCTTTTGCCTGCACAGAGCAAAAAACATGGACTCGATGATATAATAGGTCCCTTCCAACCCTAGAAATCTATGAAATCTATGAAATCTATGAACCCTTGCACTGTCAGGACACGGATAGCATTTGTCTCCCTTTACCTGTGGCAGTTTATGTTGCTTTTGGTGTTTTGGGGCAATGTGCCTTGTAATTGTGTGACAGGGTTGACTATGTTGTTTTAGGACTAGGTTAGACAAGCACTTGTATGCAGTGGTGTGGAAAGGGATGATCCTGCCTCAAGCAGATGGTTGGACTAGATGACCCATCCAGCCCTATTTTTCTATGATTCTGTCCTCTCCCTACCCCATATATGTGAACCAGCTTTGTTTGGCATCCCAGATGGGATGAGATTATAGCTGGTTCTCTTTTACTAAAGCTATTAGCTGCCTGGTAATTGATGCAAAACCCATTTGAAATGAGGGGAATACCTCCTTTTGATTTCACTGGGGCTTGGATCAGATCTTGATTAATAATCATCATTATCAAGATCAGGCACGAGCATGGGCCTGTTCTGCTTCCCACAGCTTGGGCAGAGGAAAGTTGTGGCAGCAGTTAGTTACGTGGGTTGGGAATGGCTAAACCAGTCCTGTGCTATTGCCTTTCAGCAATTGAACTGCAATACAGAAAAAGAAGCTGAACATTTCCTGAGTTTTGCTGGTCATTCCTCCTCATTATTGATTTATCTAGTTTATATGAGTCTGCAACAACATAACCTGAGAGAGAAAAGCTGTCACCCAAAAGTCACTATTTTCCTCTGGCAGTCAGGCTTGATGCCATTTGAGAAATCTTTGTGCAGAGTTTATTCCCCGAGAGTGAGAGGGAGCAAGAAGTGTGTTTAGAATGAAAATGTATTTAGACTT